CATTGGTCTCAATTGTATATTAATTTTTAAAATCCTCTGAATCAGTGTATGTATTTGAATCCAGAATTTTCTAGCTTTTTTACACGTCCACCAAGCACAATAAAATGTCCCTTCTTGTTGTTCACATTTCCAACATAAATTTGAAGTGCCTTTATACATTCTAGACAATTTCTCTGGTGTCATATGCCAACAGTACATTATTTTATAAAAATTCCCTTTAAGATTATAACATAATGTAAATTTCAATCCTTTCAACCACATATTTTCCTATTGTTCCATCTGTATATTATAACCAAAACTTTAGCCCATTTTATCATACATTCTTTCACCTGTTGTTCTGTTCTAAATTTCAATAAAAGTTTATACATGTTAGCAATTACATGTTCGTCATTTGTACACAATTCTCTTTCAAACTCAGTCTTACAATGTTCAAAACCATAAACTCTTTTGTCTACTTTAAATCTTTCTAAGAGCTGTAAATAAGAAAACCGTTGGCAATTATAGACCTCTGTCACCAGTTCTTCTCTTGATTGGCTCAGGATACGGAAGGATGAATCTTTTCTTTGATGTATCCTTCAGCATTCTTTTTTCCTGAACAGAGTATCCTCTGATGCTTCAATTATCTGTTAGCTTGGCAGACATTCTCCATAATGACCTTTAAATGATGGGAATTTTTGCAAGGTGACCATGGAGCTCACTTGTCCATAGACACCATGGGCACTTTTTTAGGAAGAAGGGCTACTCAAAATGAAGCAACGACCACCAATTTGGTGAAGGCAACTGGAAGTGTCAGCAGAGGACAGCAATGATGATGTGTCCTCCTACCTCACACAACCTTTCTCCCTTGATGATGTATCATTTAATTCCATTCTTGCTTAACCAAACCCCAAACTGATGGGAAGTTTTAGTGCACTGAACAACAGTGATCTTGGAAAGTGGGCCCTAATGACTCAAATATGAATAATTTGCTCTTTTCTTTGGCCTCCTTGTTTCCATCATTCCATCTTTGGCTCTTTTTCTTAATAATTAATTGGTAAAGTTTAATCCCCCATTTTCGATGTTGCAAAGAACCCCAAAGGAAGGATGCAATTCATTAAAAATAATGTACTACAAATGTTGAACCATGAAAACAATACATAAAATAATTCGGTAAAAGAAAAATGGCAAAACTTGAAAACAGATGACAGGGCCAAACCAAATCAGGCACAACTCCACCCATTTAATCCGAGTGCTAAATGAATGTTGAGTGAATACAGAGTGAGTGACCCATTTAAAATAGTGAGGAGGGTTGATCCCATAGACAAAAAATGAGTACGAATCAAATCGTGAAGCAAATGTAGGAAGGAAGTGTGAAGGGGTTTGAGAGGAAGGGGGAAACCAAGAGAGATGTGGTTGGATGAAGTTGAGGAAACACTCAAAAAGAGAAGGTTGAAAAGTTTAAGTAACAAAAGATAATGCATGGAATGGTGTAAGGCAGTGTTCCTCAACCTCAGCAACTGTGAGCTGTGTGGACTTCAACTCC